ATGAACTCAAGTCTTATTAGCATCAACAGGGCTATTGGCATGTGGCTATAGTCTGTGTTGTGCTACTTGTAAAGTGAACTTCAGTCTTATTTATGTTAGTTAAAGAATAATTTGTGGTCTGAAATATAAACAGCAAACTGAGTTAAGCCAAACATTTTCCAACTGCTTCCTTTATTTTCTCAACAGGAGTAAAAAAGGATATTGAAAAACTTTATGAAGTAGTGCCACAGCTTGTAAATGTTTTCAAAATTAAGGAGAAAATTGGAGAAGGTAAATGTGTATTTTTGTTTTGGCTTAACATTTGTATATCTTAAACTTACATGCATCTAACTTGACAAGTTATAAAACTATCCAGTGTAGTCCAATATTTGCAGATTTTTATATGGTGGCTTTGGTTTGCTTTTTAGTATTGCTAGAAGTAGATGAATTCTAATACTCAACTGCAAGTATGAAATATCTTTAATTACAACATTTAGAGAGATTTTCTTACCAGATGCTTGAAACCTCTGATATAAATACACTTTTAAAGAACCTGCTTGATACAGACTGCCATATACTTTAAAACACAGTGGGTGTATATACACAAGACACTTAATGTGCAGTAGACTAATTCTACTGTATATTAGCATGGCTTTTGCCACAATGCGCTAATGTGCAGTAGAATTAGTCTACTGTGCATTTTGTCACAAAGACCATGCACCGGGCTAATGCGTAGTAGGGCCAGTTACTGCGCATTTAGTTAGTAGCTCTCATTAGAGGTACTAAACTTAATGCACAGTAACAATCCTGTTCAGTATCTACTACAGGTTACTGTGGCTTTTGGAGTAATTGACTCAGTGTAGCCATATAACATTTTATCTACCTATATTTGACTGTCAATAATACATGGTAAGATAAATGTTTGCAAGATTAGAGCCATAGACAGCTTAGAAAATTTCACTCACTTCACAATTTACATAAAAAATTCTTTTATTTTCAATTTTAAAGAATTTAACTAGAAATTTGTTGTAACAGGTCTTTGAGATTGTATTACGTGAGATAACTGACGACGTTTAAACTTCTTAATCTGCAAAATTAATTAAAAGAAAATTCCATATTTAACTTGATAATGTTCAAAAGAATACAGAATCTTGTCTTCTGAATAAACCATACACCATATTTAAATAAGGTTTTTGGTTTCATTTATGACCCTATTACTGGGAGTGAATAAGTTGCTAGAAAGTGACATTGGCAGCTCTGCATCTTCTGTAAAGATAAGTTTCTATTTTTGCTGAGTTTGCCCGCAGATCATGTTTCCTTTCAGCAGCACTCCCTGCCCAATAAACTGCTTGCTAGTTATTAACAGGTATTAGAGATACTTTTTTAACTCAAGTGATAAAGACTGTGTTCTTGTGGGAAAAGGTACTAGGTTGAATCTGCTAACAACTGATCTTTGTATACAGTTGAAGACTTGCATAATTATTGTAGATTTTATTTTACGGTTTACTCATATGAAAAGCTCTTTATTTTGTACTTTCAGATTTCTAGAATAAAAGAGGGCAACTATCATCAGTGCAGAAACCACCTTTTGATGATTACTTCTGTGTTTACATGCCAAAATAACATACTAACTGTCTAGTCTCTTTGAGATTTGTTTCAGTTTTAATGGCTGCCTCTGAATGTTTAAACTTTTTGCGTTCAAAATGTAAGCACATACTTAAGTAACCTTATTTGCTCTCATCTGTCTCCTACCCCCACAATATGGCAAGTTTATAGTGAAGAATTGGTATAGATTTTAATGCCAGTTTTATAGTACAGTTTTAACGTGACTTGACATCTTTCTCTGCAGCTATAGCAGTCAGAATACTAATGTGAGTTGGAAAAATACTATCAGTTGAACAATGAAAACAGAACTAATCTAAAAGTTTTAATGTATACACTTCATAAGATGAAAGTATTAATTTATACACTTTATAAGTTGAAAAATAACGTTTTTACAGGTACTTTTAGTTCTGTTTACTTGGCCACTGCACAGCTGAAAGCAGGATATGAGGAAAAAATGGCTTTGAAACATTTGATTCCAACTAGTCATCCTCTGCGAATTGCTGCTGAACTTCAGTGCCTTACAATAGCCGGGTAGGTAAACCAAAATACAGTACCTAAGAGTTAGCAAAGGATTTAGGAATGTAATGGCAGTTTCTGAACATTGTCGGAGGCTCTAAATTTGTATCTAATTAGTTTTTAGCTTTGCCACTTCACTGAGATATTTGACCACAACAAAAGAAAAACAACTTTATTAAGGGCAAACCAGAAATGAAACATGTTAGTTACATTGCCCTTGTGGCTTTATGATTATATCAATTTGCAGCTTATTTTGTACTGGCTAGAAAAGACTTGCACAATAAATATGTGCACGCATAAAAGTGTTTTAGCCGGGGAATGGCAATGATAGAAGTTTACTAATGCAAAATTATAGGCACCTGGCACAACACTGGCAACACGCTGGGGAGGAGGGGCATGTGCCCCCCAGACTTCTGCACCAATGGCAGGACATAGGAATGGGGCTACAGCCTGGCTGAAGCCAGTGCCCAGAAGCAGTGGGGGCGGTGGCAGCAGTGGTGTACAGTTGTACCCCCCCTCCACTCTCAACGCTTACTCATCGTTTATGTGGCACAGAGTTCTCTTTACTGGTTTGGGAACGCAGATATCTGATAGCTGCAAGTTTTTCCTAAGCTTGTTCTAAACCAGTTGCTTCCTATGGGCTCCGTTCTGTGCTACCCAAGACATGCTCAGCTGTAGGCTGTGAACCCCAAGTGGTCTGCTGAAGCCTTCATTGCAAAATGAAGACCAAAATCTGAGCAAAGCAGTCAAGAAACTGCTGTTCAAAATAAGTGACAGTGGGTACATCTAGATGAGATTCTTTACGACTCAGTAGCATAGTTAAGTAAGCACGTACATCTGCACATGCTTACTGTGCAGTAAACCTCACTAATCACGAGTAAATTTGCTACCTGCAAATGCAAATAGCAAATTCAGTTGCAATTTGCTACTGCACAGTAGCACTTATGTAGATGCCTGACCAGGAACAAATCTGCTCCCAATCAGCCAGCCACCAGGGAGCGGGAGATAGCTCCTGGGGGCAGGCTCAATCACCAGAACCTGGGCCAGGACTATGACCCCCTGCCCAACAGCAGTGAGCTCCAAGCCCCTCCCCACTGGGGCCTGGGAGATTCTTATCTCCAAGCCCTGCAACTTCAAGACTTGGGCTGAGAGATCCTTATCTCCCAGTGCTAGCTCTGCAACCCTAGGGTCAGTGCTGGGGAGATACGGATAGTCACAGAGCTGGCACTGGGAGATAACTGGCCCTGCAGTTGCAGAGCTGGAGCTGAGAGCTCCCTGCTGGCAGGGGCTGGGGGTCCTGTTCCCCACTCTACTCTGATCATAGAGCTC